TTGCCGACCCCCTTTCCCGCATCCATACACCACCCACTGCGGTCGCAGCCTTGAGGTACATAGGCATGCCTACTGACGGGTCCCCAACGGAACCTACCCTGGCGGACCGCCTAAGGGCGGTAATGCCGGACAAACCGGACGTCGACTGGGGCACCGCCTCGTTCACTGACGGCATGTGGTTTAAGGGCAACAAAATTATCGTGCCCAATGACCCGCAACTGCGAAAAGACATCCTACACGCCTACCACGATGCGCCGCTTGCCGGACATCGCGGCGTGGCTAAGACACTGCACACAGTTGCCGAACACTTCTGGTGGCCTGGCATGTACAGTGCCGTCGAGCGCTACGTGCACGAATGTCCGCAGTGCCAACGCAACAAACCCGATAACCAAAAGCCAGCAGGCAAACTACAATCCCTGCCCACCCCAATGGGCCCATGGCAGGTGGTCTCCTGCGACTTTATCACCAGCCTACCGCAGACCCCTTCCGGCAACACAGCCATTTGCGTTTTCGTAGACAAGTTCTCGAAGATGGTCTCGCTGGTGCCCACAACGGACCAACTCACCACCATCGGCTTCACAAAGATGCTGGTAAACCACATCATCTGCAAACATGGTCGAATCACCGCGCTCCTCACGGATCGTGACCCACGGTTCACGGCACAAGCCATGCGCAACGCAGCCAAGCAACTGGGCGTAAAACAGCTCATGTCCTCGTCATTCCACCCGCAAACGGATGGTCAAACCGAGCGTGCGAACCGCGTGCTACAGGAGGTCCTGCGTAATTACGTGGGTCCTGACCTCACGGACTGGGAAGACTGGCTGCCAAAGGCAGAATTCGCCATTAACAACAGCAAGAACGAGTCCACCGGACAAACACCGTTCTACATCGTCTACGGACGCACCATGTCCCTACCACACGACCACGACTTGCCACTGCAGCAGTCCAAATATCCGGCGGCAGATGAAATCGCCGACAGCCTCACCCAATGGGTTACAATGGCCACTAAGTGCCTCGACGCCGCAAAACAGCGCCAAGCCAAATACGCGGACAAAACGCGCCGCGAAACCCAGTTTGAGGTTGGACAGCAAGTCCTGCTGAGCACCAAGAACTTCACGTTCCGGGCACCCAACACGAAAGGCCTTGGCAAGTTCATGCCACGCTACATCGGCCCCTTCCCCATCATTGCCAAGGTGGGCGAAGCCGCGGTTCGACTACAGCTCCCGGCGCACTTGCGCATGCACGACGTATTCCACGTCTCTAAACTCAAAGCCTACAAGGCTGGCAGCAACGCGCCACCCCCACCTGCGATTCCCGCAGCTGAGGGCGAACCCTTGTGGTACGTGGACGAGATCCACGCCCACCGGCAGTCTCGCAGCAGGCGCCGCATCACCATGGAGTACCTCGTCAGGTGGCACAAACTGGGCCCCGAGTACGACTCCTGGGAGTCCGCAAAGGACTGCAACCAAGGATGCCCAGAGGCAATCCGCGCTTACCACGGAAAACTGTACGCAAAAGGCGTACCGCTACCCTAATTATCCACCTCACTCAAGGCGCCCCGAGGACGGGTTCGCATTCAAGAGGGGGGGAATGTAACGCCGCTAAGGCGGCCCTTGGCTCACCGGGCCAACGGTATCGTACCAACGGTACATCCAAGAACTATTCATAATCTTCCAATACCAAACGGTATTTATCAATACCACCTTTTATCGTTGGATATTTTCCTTCGTAACTGCTTTGCCAACTGCAAGCTTTGTTACAGGTACAGGCCGCTTGCAATCACGCCGTACACATCTTCATACATCAGTCCAGAATGAGTACATCCTGCTTACATTCGTCATTCATATAGGCAACATTGCGATATCATTACGATCATCCATGGACCTTGAGGAAGAGCGTGCTACATGCATAGCCAGAAACGAAGCTAAGTTAGCAGAGCTTGGTCTTTTGCATTCACCTCCCCAGCTCAACAAGATTACAAGCACTCAGTTGAAATCCCGCCGACTTCGTAGAAGGATAGACCAAGCAGTGCAGCCGGCGGTCGATCTTGTCCGCCCTACATCACGGCACAGTAGGACAGAGGTCACAGCCATTACAGGATCTGATACCACTGAAGAGTCCGAGGAATACTGTGAATTGGAAACAGCACATGAGTGCATGGTAAAGCTGTGACCTTTTGCGCCGCCGATTTTCCTGATGAACTTGCTTGCTTTACTTGTCAAGCATGAATCCCTCTTTCTTTGCTACCCATTCCTTTCGCATTATCGAAGGAGGCTATTCAGAACGTTCCTGAACCTAGTCCAGGTGACCTTCCTGGCCTTCAAGGCATTCCAGTGGAGATTCGGGATATGGCTGCAAAAATAGGCTTTGAAATCGGCTGTAGGCCGTTCCAGCTGTTCTACACAGCATATGACAAATGGAAGTCGGATTTCAAGCCGGCTTTTAACAGTCCAGGATCAGCCAAGGCTACCATGGACATGTTCAGCACCCTCTACGAAATGGGCTTCAGGGAGAGAGACCACCTTGACCAGCAGCAGGTCAACAGGGTGAGCCTCAAAACGGTAAGCATAGAAGGACTTCAACTCAGCATCCAAGATCTACTTGGAAGTGGTAAGTTTGGGGCAGGGTTGAATGACTCATCTTTGAAAGACTGTCACTCAATACTCATGGGTGCTCATGCTTGACTACAGACCGAAAAGGAGATTGAGGACTTCATGGTTACGCTGGGTGGGCGAGACAGAACCGTGGCCGGCTTCCACTTGGACTCAGAAGCAACGTGTCCGAAAGTCCCTGGTTGAGAGATGGAACAACCGCAAGAAGTGGATTGGAAATCTACAGCAGCAGGCCAATGTGGAGGGTGAGTACTAAGAGTACTTTGGAAACAGTATTACAATT